AGGAGTTGGTTGACACCCCTCCCGAGCCGAAGTGCCTTTGAACAAATCCTTATAACTCAGCTCTCTCTCTCTCTCGTCATCTTTATCTGCTCCTGGTTGTTTCATTAGTATCCACTTTCTTCTATTAAATAAGCAAATTAGATGTTTGGACTTCGCATTCAGCAAGTCACTCTTTGGAAAGGGTATGTTTTGGGAAGCAAAGTCAGTGTCCAAACAGATTTTAGTAATGAGTGAGGGGAAGGAAAAAGCGTTTTTTGGTTCATCAAGGCGCCAGAGGCTCGATATAGATTCGTGTGTCATTTCATTAGTCTCTGTTGCTTTTGATTTTCATTTGTCTATCCTTACTCCTAGGCAGGCAGTTTTGTTCGCAGCGGATGAAGGGGCGTGTCGAGCGGGTTGAGTTTGGCACGGCGCCAAACCCATGCTCCTTGAAGCGGGAGCAAAAAGAGTCGCTGGAAAACGGCTCAAAAAACCAGCTGCTCTTTTATCCCAACAAATGAAGGAAAACGAGCTTCGTTGTCCCTGTCGTACTGAAGAGCGTGGGGGTTGGTGAGACAACGAAGACCCGCCTATGGCGAAACGGACCATCTGTGCTTTGGAGTGTATCCTTTTCCACGATATTGTTTTTCTTTGTTCCTAACTTGCGTCGCGCAAGACAGCCCACCTGGCACGCTTTTTCATCCGGAAATAACAACTCTAGCAGACATAGGGTAATAGCCCTTTGCCGGGGAGTGTTCTTACTGTATTTACTGTATTCCCATGTTTCAGGCATGTTCAAATGCAAACTGGCCCAGGACACCGCTACGTTTTCACCATTCGTAACCACCCGTCGATGAAGAGTAAAGAAATCGCCTTTGCAATTGCTCAGCGAAAATGGGCTGTTCTTAGTTTGGACCAAGAAGTACTAGTGGCACCTTTTTCATTCAAGGTACAAATCCCACTCAATTAAGCGGTTATTCATGAGTTGTTATCAACCTTTTAAGAGCAATCAGTACATCGGATCCATAACCCTGTCAGCGGACTTTCAACTGAAGAAGAAGTAAGTCTTGGATGTAATCATCTATTTAGGCACAGTTGCTCTTTAATTCCTTAGGCTTTGGAAAGTTATCAAAAAAGCATGTCTGACGGGAGCTTAGCCCCATGAACGTTGTTGATATCGTCGCATTAAGTCGAAGCGAAGTCAGCATGGGCAAAGCAAGCCCGCCCAGGGTTCCCTTTTCTGCCAGTGATCGGTTAGTGGTCGATTTTGCAGGAAAACAACCAGTGATGAAAACGCCGCTGGTGGGCTCTTTCCGTGCCTCTTGGCATCGCATCGGCGGATTGCGACGTTTCAACTATATCTCATTCGCCTGAGGTGAACATGGGTAGCAAGTGCGCCATGCCCCCCCCCCTCCCAACCTGGACTCTTGGGCCGGCGCTTTTGGAGCTGGTGCCATGCGATGCCATCCAGAAAGAGTAAATTGGCCTTCGTATTAAGATGTTTACCTATTTACTTATTCCAGAAAGAGTAAATTGTGCCATTCGTTCTAGATGTCTTACCTTTTACTTATTGTCGTCTTTTCAGTGCTACTTCTGAGCCGTTGAATTCCGATTTCATGGCGCGTGAATTTTCTATGCAATTTGGTGGTATGGCATTTGCTAAGGGTCAATTACTCGTCTTCCAATTCAATGACCCCGAAAAGGGCAAGACCTTCACGTTATCCCTCGTCGTGAAAAACATTGAAGGTTTGTGCTATATAAACTGTTTGGAGATATTTTTGTTGGTTGCGTTGTTATTACTTACAGTTTAGGAATCGACCTCAGTACCGCTGCTGCCGGTGATGAAAAATCGAAGCAATTTCCGGTGAGTAACGGCTTTGGGAACTTTCTACCTAAGAAACAATATTTCTGTTCTTTTGCATTGTTCTGTTTTTATAACAAGAATACCAAGCTTGCGCGTATAAAAACGCAATCCGGGCTGGACTCTCGATTGGGATCAAGTTACCCAGAAGTCAGCAGTCTTAGGGGAAAATTTCGAACTGTGGCAACTGGCTTCAGTCATTACAGCAAAATATGCCCATCTAAGATCTACGTGGAAGAGATGTGGTCGCAATCAGTCGGGGCGGTTTCGAGAGGGTTGAAAAGGGCTCGCCCGTGGCGTTTCTAACTGGTTGTTCTCCTGCTAAATAGATCTGAGCGATTACCATTGGTTCAAGGCAGGCATAGGCGGACTCAGTCAGCTCCTCCTGACGCCGCCCCGACTGATTGCGATGTTACCAACTATATGTTCGCAGAAAAAATGGATTAAGCTTTAGTTAGCGTATGACTCAGTTCAGATCGATTGTGGCCAACTGTTGCCTAATTCGGCTATAATTTTCGACAAAGAAGAAGGATCGACGATGAATCTTGTCGGAAAAAGCAAAGGGTTGGATGTCTCATGTACGAGTCTATACCACCATTTCTATCGTTGGTTGTTACAGAAAATCTGCCTATCGCTCCATAATCAATCCCGATTGGGACTTCCAGAAGATGGGAATCGGAGGCCTGGACAAGGAGTTTTCAGGAATCTTCCGACGAGCTTTCGCTTCCAGAGTATTTCCGCCTGAGTTTATTGAACAGCTTGGTAAGTCCTACTCTGCATAATATCAAATACTGATGCTGACAATATTTTTTTCAATTTCACTTCTAGGCATGAAACATGTGCGAGGAATTCTGTTGTTTGGGCCTCCTGGCACTGGTAAAACGTTGATGGCACGCCAAATAGGTAAAATGCTCAATGCACGAGAACCGAAAATCGTGAATGGACCACAGATTCTGGATAAGGTGTGTCGTTCGTTCGTTGTTGATTGTTTTCTTTCATTTCTCGCATGAAGGAAGGCTATTATTGCAGTACGTTGGCGAATCAGAATCCAACGTCCGGAAGCTGTTTGCTGATGCTGAAGAAGAGTGGAGAAGATGTGGCTCTAATTCGGGGTTACATATCATCATCTTTGACGAAATCGACGCCATCTGCAAGCAGAGAGGTTCCATGGTGAGGGACTACTAATTGCTGATCATATAATTTTCAATAAATTCTGAACTACTTACGTTCTTTGATGATGTTTTTTTCTGCCTCGTAATCGAGTAGTCGGAAAAAGTTCCCTCGATAGCTTTCCCGTTGTAAGCCCCAACAGCTTTGGTTCACAGTAGTACTTTCTTCCATCAGTCGTGGTTTTGATTTTGCACCTGGGCATTTGCTATATTTCCCGGGGTTGAAGCTACCCTTCTCTTCGAGTGTGAATCTCGCCAGCAAAATGAGTACTGAACGCCTTCCAAGCAATCAGTGTGCAACCATTATTCACGGTTTTGCGAAAGTGATTTGCGGCCCTAACGAAGACCCTCGATAATTGCAGCCTTCAGAAAAAAAAGAGAAATCCTTTGCCACTGACCAATTTTTCTCGGGATGCGCCACATTTTCCTCCAACCAGAGTTGATTGTAGCGAAATGCGCTGAGGCATCTATCTTACCGGCGAGGCAGTTACCCGATCAACGATGGACAGTCGATGAACAGTTGGCTTTCATTGACTCCACAGAAGAAAGTGGTATCAATTCACTGGCCTGGAGAGATGGAATGTTTGGTTGGCCCGGGCAAGGGTTAATCAGAATTTTGACGCCTGGACTGCCCACATGCCATTGTGCTATAACCCCCCCCCCAGTGCGGATTGTAAAGCGTCTGAAGGATTCGCCGTGCCACCTTCTTTCGCGCACGCACTTACTTTATACAGAATCGTAGTGGGCCCATTGAATGACATGTGGCCTACAGTGACTTGCGGGTATCAGTTGATGTAAGTCAGAGTTTTTATTCTCCCGACAAGTCTGGTACCACTTTACTGCCCCCCGGAGGAAAGGAGGTTAAGTTTGAAATCTGACCACGGAATTTGACCAGCGTACGGTAAGCGCACCGGCTTCATCCTGCTAAGCTGCACTCCGCGCCATAAAATCTCGTTTGTTTTTTCCCATCTAGGGGCAAGTTAGAGAACATACGAGTGAAATATCAAAGTACTTGAAACCACGTAAAGTGAAGCTCAACGCAAAAATTGTACAAATACGTCAATATGTTTGTGGATCTTCGACGGCAGGGCACATTTTATTCTACAGGCTGGGTCATCATCTGTCCATGACACCGTCGTTAACCAGCTCCTTTCGAAAATGGATGGTGTGGAGCAGTTGAACAATATCCTTGTCATTGGCAAGTCTTGTATTTTTGTATTGTTTTGAAAAAAAATGAATGTGAAGAAACCAATCAATCTCTTAATCTGTTTTGAAATTACGAAAATTTTGAAATTTAAATCCTTTTTGTTCATTGACTGTTGCCTACAGGTATGACAAATAGAAAAGACATGATCGACGAGGCCTTACTTCGACCCGGTCGTCTTGAAGTTCAGATGGAAGTTAGTCTCCCGGATGAATTCGGTCGTCTACAAATCCTGAGGATTCACACCTCACGAATGCGGTATTGATATCAAGTCATGATATGCTTTTACTCACATTTCACGATGATGATAACTTGTCTAGGGAGTTCAAGAAGTTGGACCCAGAAGTGAATCTGGAAGAGCTGGCCAAGCGCACTAAGAATTTCTCTGGTGCTGAAATTGAAGGTCTCGTGAGAGCGGCTCAATCCAGTGCGATGAATCGACTAGTGAAAGCTGGAGGAAAAGTTCAGCTTGATCCCGATGCCATAGAGAAGTTGGTGATAAATGCCGCTGATTTTGAATACGCCTTGGAAAACGATATCAAACCGGTTTGTCGCAATTTTTGAGGAAGTCGAGTATTTTAGTAGGAAATGTGTACTTGTTCTGTTCTTTCAGGCCTTCGGGCGAAGTGACGAATCATTAGAGAAATTCCTCCGTCGTGGTATGGTTGTATGGGGTAGCGAAGTGACGCGTATACTCGAAGAAGGTGCTCGCTTAGTTGAAGAGACCGTGAACCCAGATGCTGGAGGTTTTGTCACTGCTGTTCTAGCAGGTAAGTGGGGTGACTGTACTATTTCCCTTGTCATGATCCTTTGCACTTTGATTGTTTCATACGTTCACTATTGAACTATTCCTACCCCAAAACACTCAAAAAATTTTTTTCGCTGAAACGTTGCCTATAGATGTAATTCGATGCGCTGATCACGAATATAACATCCGTTTCGAGCGCTGGCGTCATCT